GTGGGCTTCCCTGCATTTCTTTATCAACTTGTTGAGAAAGATCAGAGATGATTCTCTAACCCTAGTAAAGAGCTTGTCTGTGGGTTTATTAAGTCTTCGCCTTTGATTTCGTTAGATTTTAGATTTTGCACAAGGTGCTCTGTGTTTCATTTTTACAGCATTTTTTGTTAAACTGAAAATGTCCCTCAATTTTTTCAATGTTTATTTGTCCTTGCATGCTAATTCATGTGGTAAGTGGTATTGATTCATTAATTTATTCAGCAGGGAGTAACCGCCTTCCATGGAGAGGAGGTGGGTGGGGAGGGCTTCCCAGGGAAGGAGCTTATTTTCCTTGGTCTTTGTGGTGGGTGCTGGGGAAGGGCGCGCAGATGGAAGGGCTGCGGCTGCAGGTGTGTGGCTCTGAGCACAAGCGTGGGCTCTCTCAGGAACGGGAAGCAGGTAGATGTAGTTGGGGGGTGTTTACACGGGGGGGGCATGGAGGGTGAGAAGGGTGACGATCACTCATCAGTGAGTGAATGAGTGAATGAATGAGTAAACGAATGAATGAGTGTAGAATTCCATACTCCTTCCCTTGGATGGCTGGTCCTTCACCAAATGGACCATTTTTTTCTCTGCCCCTTCTTAGTGAGCATATCTAAACCTCAGTTGATTCTCTTGCTTGGAGAAATCCCTCATCAATGGGTGGAAAGGAGATGGTTAGCTTCAGCATTCTCTCATAGTTAAGCTGAGAATTCAGCATGAATTCCAGACATGGTTCATGTATTCTAGATAATCAGCATGGCTGTTCATGATAGGTAACCCTCTTTCCACCCCCACCCCCCCCAAATCTTTTTTGGTTAGGATGCCATGACTGAAGATTAATGGCTTCCATTATTTTTTTCCCTTCATGCAGGAATCTTTAAACTAACTTGAAGCTTGTACCAACTATAGTATGAATCACGTCTACTACAATTACCCCTTCTGTGTCACATCCTGCATTAGCGTCCTTGCATGACACGCTAAATGCAGGGCAGGGTTAAAAGTGTCAGGTGATAAGCAGGCAGAAAATTGATAATTAACTGTGACTGACACACTTCATCGTGCTGTTATCTTAGAGGCCTTAAGACAAAATCTTACTTGTAAATATTACTTGAAATGAAATATGTTAGTAGATGTTAGTAGATACATTTCACATCTGTTCAGTAATTCACTTTTATTTTGAATATTGTGTACATCTATTGCAATAAGCTTAATATAATAAAAATGACAGTTTTCTTTTAATGAACATTCACCATGTAATAGTCTCAATTCTAAGCATGTATTTGCCCATTTAGTCTTTACACCAGACCTAGGAGGTAGTTATTGTGTGTGAAACCATTTTACATATGAGGAAACTGAGGCATGCACTGTATGTAAGTAGTTTGCTCAAGGTCCAACAATTAAAGGTCAGAGCTGGGATTTGAATCCGGGCAGTCTAGCTCCAAAGTTTGTGCTATCAACCTCCATGTTATACTGCTTTACATATTGCTTGAAACAAAGAGCTGGTTTTAGCATCAAATATTAGGAATGTACCCCCACCCCTGCAAATTTTCTCTCATTCAGTATAATTGCCCATTTTTGTATATATCATGTCATAATGTTTTTGAGAAACTTGGACAAAGAGCAAAACCATAGAAAAATCAATTCTTCTGTTCAGGTCTCATTATCTAGAAGAAGAGTTTTGACTATAGTATATGAGTGCAAAAGGTTTCTGGTTTATGTTAATTTTAAATGTAATATATTTTAGAATCTTGTCACATGCATTATTAGTATGATCCCATATGTTCCTGTTCTTAGGAGAGACTGAATTAAAAGACAAAAACAAAACACTAACCAAAAATTCCCCCTATGTGCCAAGAACAAATTTGAATTTGAGGTCCATGTGCCCAGATAAAGTATTTTGTTATCTGAACTGAGAAAATAAACTTAATCCCTGCAGTGGTCACAGATTCATATCCCTATTATCCATGCTTTTTCATTTAAATTAAAACATGTTTTGCTTTGTTAAGGTGAGGCAGGGCTTCTTGCTGACAATTTTTTAAGCAACTATTTTTTTTTTTTTTCCAGCTTACACCATAAGGTGCTGGCTCCAAGTGTCAGCACTGGAACCTTCAGCAGTTCCCTACCAAGGAAGTAGTTCCAAGGTCAAGAGTTTCTTTAGGCAGAGGCTAGAATTATGAAAATAATGGTGGTATTTATCTGTGTCTCCTGGAAAGGTGTTCATACCCTGCCAGTCTTAATTGGCTTGACAAGCTAATATGGTGGGTCTGAACGTTTCCAATAGTTTTCTCACAAGTGACTACTTTGGCTACATAAAATGCAGGGCCAGACAAATTAACTTATGGGCCCAGAAATAATTCTTGGCCCAGGTTTTGAGACACTTTTCAGTCAACCATAGCTGCTTGGATACTTGAGATTTGCTGACAGTTCTCAGCTCAGAAAAGGGTTCGCGTTCCTGATCTTTTATCGGGATCATCTTAATTCTTGTCTGTGAGGTTGAGATACAGGAAATATGAGCAAGGACTGGACCCAGCTGTTTGGGTGACCCTTGTATACCATGAGCTTCTTAGACAGAGCTTGATGGGATAGCCAACAAACATTATTGATGGTGATGACAGGAGAGAGCCTAACCAGAACCTGCTATTAATAATACAAGTCCTGATGAATTGAGAATGATGTCTGCTGTAGACTAACATGTTGCATGAACAATTATAGGCAAAGGAAGATTGTAGTATTGGTATATGTATTGTTTAGTTTCTTCCTCCATTGCTTGGTTTTGAATTGGGCAAAGATGACAGATGTAAGCAGCACAGTAGGTTCAAGTTGGATCACACTGAGACATTACTTTCTTTGTTTCAGTTTTAGAAAGCTCTCATCATTTATGTGTTTTGGAGTGAACATTACTTACTAACAGCTTGAAGCTGAGTCAAACAAAACTTTAGTATTTGTATGGGCCAGGGATCCAGAGGCCAGTCTGTAACTTAGTTAATGTGGAGACAGAGAATGTACAAAAGCCATGAAAACCTCAACTCTGATGACTTGCTGGATGGTTGCTGACCATTATCTTGGTCCATGAGATGGTGTCCTTTAAAGTTGTAGGAGGTGAGGTCTTCCTCTGGGAAATTTCTGGACAAGGATACATGTGAAATGACTTACATGCCTCGTTTTAGAGGATTCTTGGCCTTGTCTGTCAACAAATGGATATTTCAACATGGGAGTTCAAGGGGATTTTAATGGAATTTTATTAAGGGGATGAAAAGCAGAATTCAGTGACAATATTACCTTAAAGACTGTTTTCCATTTCACACTAGATAATCTATGTTATTGTTGAGTAAAGGGGACAAAAATTCTAAAAACCTGGCTTCCTTAGAAGTTTCCATTTTCACACAGTCACCGTAGGCAGCAGCACTGTCAAATAAACAAAGGTTTAATTCAATAAAAACTATTTAAACAGAGCATAAATATTCTTCCTTGGCTAGTCACAAATTGGACAATTCAAAGAACAAACCCTGGGGGGAAATTGCCAATGGATTACTTCTTCTGTTCTGTGTCTACTGCTGTGTTTTTCTTCCTGGTGTCAAATCTCAAGTTGAATTCAGTCAGTTATATACAGCCAACAAAAAGTGCATAAATGTCTCTTCTGTTACTGGTGTTTATATTTCACCATTAAACAAACCAATTTTTTCTTCCCAGCTTCTTCCTTTAGGAGCTTTTAAGTCCAACAACATGAATAAAATGTTGTATATATTCTGTTATCACTTTGGAAGCATAATGATTGATTTAGTTATTTAAAATTTTATTGCAAAGATTTTTTTGTTGTTGTTGTTAACGTTATACTCGCTACTAAAGTTGTTGAAGAAACACAATTTGCTGAGCATTAGGAAGGATTTGTCATTAGGTTAAGTACATTAAGTATCTCAGGTGTGTGGTGTTGGGGTTATGTGCATATCAGTTACATTTTTTTTTTTTGCTTTCCTATTTTAGTCACCTCTATAATAATTTTGACTTAAAAATGTTTTCCATACATCCTTTAACAACTACAGATATAGAAGTATGGTATAACAATAGTTGGTATAACTAACACTAAAATGTAATGGGAAACAAGGAAAATATTGTAAAGAAAACGAGAAAAACCTGGACCATGGAGCACTGTTGACTCTCTTTTATGATTTTTAAGATTCTCTGTCCCAATCCTCCTACCACAGAACATTCTTATGTGGCCTAAGTGCCAAGGGCCAGGGGAGCTGGGCAGGAACTTACCTTACCAATTTTCTCTCAGAGCATAGGTATTTTCTTTAAGATATGAAAAACATTTCATCGTGCTCCTGAAACCCTGTCCCTCTCCTCCCTGTCTCAGCCCGTTTGCTCTTGCTTCTGTGGGTGGGTGAAAAATCCTGCCCATCTGAAAAGGTAGGTCTAAAAACATTCTGGAAAATCATCTATTTTCTTCCGCAAATGATCATTTTAGTTTCAAGTTTATTTCAGGTACATGAAGCCTTCCTCTACTCATGCTTAATAACAAATGATCCTGCAAAAGATGAGAATAGAAAAAGGTACAATAAAATTGAAGCATATCTAGTTGCCTCAGCGACTTAATGCTTATCATTTTCACTCAGCATTATTCCTACTAAAAATACAAAAGAAAAATGAAAATTACCTCAGGCTTTTGCTGCCGTCGTTGCCCTTTGGTTTCTAGGGCGGTTCAGGTTTTGGAATGCCGGCACAGTTGGGACTGCCAAGCCAGGAAGAGATCTCGCTCCAGGTGTAGCTGCTTTGTTCCCAGATCACCTGTCCTTTTCCCCTCAGACAATGAAGCTGTGATTTTTCTCTGGCCTTTCGAGGCAAAGCGATTCCAGATAAGCAGATTATTGTGTGGAATATCTCATCTATGTTGTTCCAGTGCAGCCCTTTCAGCTTTCCAGAGCCAGTTAGACTTGTTATGAGGAGCTAAATGATTGGCTGGATCTGGGGCTCAGTTTCATAGATTATAGCCCAGCGTACGAGAAGCAGGAGTCCTATAGTTGCTGTAGTCCAGGGCCCTGCCAGTTCCTGCTTTAATGCACATATTGTGGTAACTGAGTTCTAACACGGCCTTGGATGTTTCTGTCCTAAATAGCTGACATTGCATCTTGAAGACTGTGTGAGTAATCCTGAATTTTTTTTTTTTTTGGTAAGCTCAGTAAATTAATTACATGCCCTGGGAGGGAGTGATTGTAAGTAGAAAATACTGAACTAGCAGATGATTTGTTTTCAAGGTGCTGTACTATATGTATCAAGTTCAATGCAATGAATCTGAAAGCTTCTAAGACTTGGCAGGGTTATTCCAGCTTTTTGCCATGAATCACAGTCAAAGCTGCATTTTGAAGGAGGCTGTTCGATGCATTTGCTAGCCCTGTTTGTTTTATGGGGTCAGTAAAGTGATAAAGGGCAAACATGAGCAGGTTAAAAGAGGATGCTGGTATCAAAGCAATGGCTTAGAGAACACTTGGGTCAGGTAACTTTCAAGGTTTCCTACCCCCACCATCCAAAACTGAGAGAGAGCAGCAAATGATAATAAATCCTTTTGGGACACATGTAAACAGCAGTTAGAGCCCAAAAAAAGGAGAAATGTAAAATAATTGCAGCAGTACTTTTCTTCACAGCAATCGGAAACTGATTTATGACATACACTATAAATAACTAACAAATTTTTATATGTACAGAAATGCTCTTTGGTGCTTCTGTTTATGTGGTAGATTGCCGAATGAGAAACCATGAACTTGTTTTAAAAAGCCTTATAAGAAGTACATTAAACACACACAGACAGAACCATAACGTAAGAAAGTATGTGGTTTGGAATTTGTGGTTGGAGCAGATCAAATTATCCCAGGGAAGCCTTTGTTAGGTTTGTGTAATTGCTGGGGTAAGTTCTGTTGCTAACAATGTTTAAGATAAAGCTGGAGTGGATTAAAATGAGAAATGAGAAAAAATCAGCATTTTATTACCTTCTGTATTATATACTGCAGGATAGAATTAATACTGAGTCTAGACTGGTAAATGTAATCAGTTTACTTTTTACTTTTAAATCATAATCGATTTTTCCTAGCCTATCATAACAAGATACAATAGAACTTTTGCCTATGAATTTAGTGCTTAGAAATATTTTTCTTCCTCCCAAATAATTTTTATATTTTTTCTCAGTACAGCACAGAGCTAGGTCATTTCTTATAATTTGGGGTCATTTTTCAGGTGGTTTTTTGTCTACCTTTTCCTCTTCAGATTGTAGATACATACGTATATATTTTTTATTATGTATAAGTCTCAAGCATAAATCATTTGAACAGGTTTTTAAATCACGGGTTCTGTGGCAAATATAAACTTCTGATAGCTATAGTAATTAGCTGCCAATTCCTATAAAAATAACATTATAGACTCAAAGCAGTTAATTTTTGGTTGCACCTATTTAAATAACATGATTTAGTCAGTAGGAGAGAGATATTACGTTTTGCAAAATTTTATGTTTAGATCACACTGAAAATGCAAAGTTTTGTTGTTAAAAATATTTTTGCTTTCTGAAATATGACAGCCTTTTAGATCACACCAATGGATGAAGTTTATAAAAAGAAAGAAAAGTAACCAACATAGATTCCTTTTCTGTATCAACCAAATATATGTAAAATAGTTTTAAAGAAATGTAATTTTAATATTTTCTTCTAGAAATACATTTGCTTTGTGAAGAAGTGGCGTAATGAGTTCCTTTACTGAGACAGACTAGCAAGTTCTTTTAGTAAGTTTCTGTCACCATAGACACTAATAGTGATAGTTGGCTCATTCTTAGTTATACATTCCTAACTGACTATTCGTGGAAGAAAGTAATGCATCTATAAAAGGAAGATAATCCCATTCCTCAAGGTGTCTGGGGCCCATCTAGGTGTAAGAAGTGGTGGGGGTGGAATCTGCATTATTTGAATTAGCTTCTGGCTTCTAACTCGGCTCCTCTTCTTCCTTGGGTCCATGCAGCTCTCTTGCTATAGCATTCACGTTCCCTCTCACCTTTTCCTGCCTTATCCTTCACATTACTTTGCTTGGGCTCTTACTGAGATGAATCAAATAAAAACGACTTATGCTTGATTATCAAATGCTAATCAAATAAATACAATCTGATTTGTATTTATGCAATTCAATGGGTGTTTAAAACCAGGGCTCAGGGAAATTCTGGTGAGTGTATACTAGGAGTATTTACACCTTGCATTGGTGCTTCCTCTGCGACCTCTATCTTTTTACTCCCTGAGATGCTAGAGTCTCATCTCTTTCTTGTGAAAAGTCAGGACATTAAGAAAAGGAGTTGAGGAGCACCTGGTAGACCTTGGGCTGTGGGCAAGGCACAGTAGGAAAAGGAAAGTATCTCCTAAACAGCAGTGGTTGATCTTTCTTCTCTCCATTCCTCTCTATTTTCTAAACTCATTTTTGTCTGATGGTGGAAGTTCTTTTGCAGATAAGGTTCTGTAAAACTATGCATATCTGCCATAGACAGATGGATTTGACAAAAGATGTATCCAAAAAGGAAAGTATCACATCATGAACTTGCTAAGTGCTCGTGAATACACACTGGCATTTGGAGACTATTAACACTACCTACTAAAAGCAATGAGATAAATCCAAATTGAAAAAAAAAATATTTCTTGATTGAACTACATTTTCCAATGAGGTTTTTTTTTTTTTTGCTAAATTTTGTTTTTGGAAAAATTTGCTCTTCCCTAAGCCGTTTTTCCTGTGTTATATATAGGACTGATCTGATTGCTTAATCTTGTCCAAGAATTTAATTATTCCTACTTGGCATTTTCAGAAGAGTTGCTGTTCCACCTTGATCATGTTTTAAAGAAAGCAGAGCAGAACAAATGAAACAAACATCTCCCCTTCCCAAAGGAGTTAAATGCCTAAGATTTGTGTAATTCCCTCCTTTTGTGGAGCCCGACACTGGTAGAGGGGGAGCTTTCATTTAATTTAAAGACAATCAATTATTCTAATGATTATATACTGTGAGGAGGTGACATATTTCCCATTATCTTCATCATCAGCCAAATTCGTGGTCTTCTGATTTCTGATTTCAAGGAATAGAACATCTTAGTGAATTAATCATGGAGTCAACAGGATCATTCTCAGGTCATGAAATTTTTCTAAGCCTCAGTCTCCATGTCTGTAAAGTGAAAATAATAATATATGTCCTGGTATTTTACTGGATTGGTGAGTATCAGCAACACAATGAGAAAGTGCTTATAAAATAACATTTTAATGTGTAATTTTTAAAGTGCTATACAACTCTACACTATTATTATTATTACGGCAGCTATTGCACTAGAGTTAGCATCCTTTACTTCTAAAAGCATATTCCCAGTAATGGATAATACTTTAAAAGAAAAGGACGTCTTCTCTGTTTGAACTTGAAAAGTTATAAAGGGTTTTGGAGTCTCAGTCTTGATCTGTGTGTTACTTGAGTATTAAAAATATTGATAGATTTACTGTGATAAATCAATATGATATTGTATGTGAAAACATAATCAATAAACTTCTAAGTGCTATATAAATGTTACTTATTGCAATTATTATCAGCACATTAATAAAAGGTATTTACAAATTATCCATTTTTTAAATGGAAATACTGCAACATTTCTTATTGATTAGTTTGATTCACTTTCTAAGTTATGTCTACTTCCCTCAAATAGGATGAATTTTCTTGTTGGTTAAGCTTGTGCCATAATTTTCCTTCCACGTAGATATAGGACAAAGTCAATAGTTGGATAAGCATTGCTTCAGAATCTACGTTTAGAACTGTTAATGACGAAACGTTAGAGGACACGGTTTCCTCAGGGGGAAAAGTGAGTTAGAAAACTTAGACCGACTGATGTTCTTGGATTTTTTTTTATTCCTGTCTTGATTCTCATTATTAAATTTCATGAATGTTATAATCATGTCAGTTTTAAGGTGATGCTTATTTGTAGGTCTTTTAGGAATAAAATGAATGGTCAAAATGACTTTCTGAATGGTTTAGAAAGTTCAGTCACCAATTTTGAAACTGTTCAGCTAGTTGCACTTTGGAAGAGCATGATGCTTTTCGGAATATTAGCCACAGCTGTGTCCTATATTTCAGCTGCTTGAGCTCACTGTTGTTACAGGTTTGACAATTTCCCAACAGCAATATTGGTTAGGCTGAAGTGGTTACCCGTTTCACCGATAGAAGTGCTTTTATAAAAATAAAGAAACCATAGAGGAAGAAAAATAAGTAAAACATAAAAATGGAATGGATTCTCTCCCATCTTTATCTCACACGGCCCAGCAATTCATGAGGGAACTTTCCAGAAATGGAAGAATTGCATCTGTAGTGCTGTTTGAAAACTGGATCTAGGACAATTGTCCTAACTTTCTTGTGCTTTTGGTGATTGGATAAGACCACTTCTTCAGTAATTTAAAATGAAAGTGACCGAATGTTTTTTAACTTCTTAATAAGACTTTATTCATTCAGCAAAAATCAAGAGTTTTGTGCTAGAAACACAAAAATGAATATGACCTGGTTTCCTCAAGGAGCTTACAGCCTAGTAGACATTTATTTCATGTTTGCAGAACTTTTAGGATAATTTTGGGAGAAGGGTTAATTTTGGGGGCTGCTGTTTTTCTCCTCAAAGTATTTAATATGTTAATAATGGAGGAATGGCCAACCTGTAGCATATACAAAAAACAGCAGGTGGAAGTACATAAATTTTCTTATAAAATTATACTTTTAGGAGTGTCCAGCCTTATTTGGACACTTTTTACAGACAAAGACATGTTTTACAGGCAAAGAAATGACAGACCCAAGATGTTAATTGGGTTTGTTTAATGTTCATATATGGTAGAATTTCATCATTCCAGAAAATGTATTTCCAGCTTTTAGATCTCATTAGCTTCTGCATATTAGTTTGGTAGCATTAGCTGCTGTAACATTTAAAATCTGAAATCTCATTGACTGAACTTAGAAGTTTATTTCTCCCTCGATCAAAGCCTAAAGTGGGTATTCTTGATGGGCCGATTTCTCTCATTCATTCAAGCAGTGTTCTTGTGACACCACTCACATTACCTTGCCACCATCGGCTTCCAGATCCCTGTGCTTTGGCAAAGGAGAACTCC